GCAGGCAGTGGCTTGACCACTGCTGGCCTCGCTCCCAAGGCTGGGCAGGCAGCACCCCCCTGAGACCTCACAGCAGCCCTGTGTGCTCAGAATCACACCATTTGGCAATGACGCTACAGGCTCCAGGTCACACTAGCAGCAAGGAATGGGCTTTGCTGAACAGGGGCCACAGCCCCCCATGAGGCCAATCCCTCCCCAGCTCATTCTAGAAGCCTGGAGCTCCTGCAGGAGGTGATTCTGTCACACAGGCCACGGGCTCAGGTATCCAGAATCCAGGTCCCTAGGCCATGTTCATGGAGTCTTCAAACACTGTACAGGTTTAAACCCCCTCAGGCCAAGACTGGAGAGGAGCGTCTATAGGACCCTCTGGGGAACAGGGCAAGCCTAGGTGGGTCACTCTCTGCTACTACCTGGAGTCACAGCCTGAGTGACTGTGGGCACCATGGAGACCCATGGACATTGGAAAGGCCCAGCACTGTCTCCCGGGGCTGCTCGGTGAGGGATGAGACCCCTGCTCCTGTGCCCTCTTCCCCATACCCAGAGGGAGCTCTGAGAAACACAAACCAGATCCCGCCACCCCTGGCTTACACCTTCAGTGGCTCCCCACTGCCCTCGGGACAAAGGCCCAAATCTTCACCCTGCATATACACATGTCACCCTGGGTCTGATCCCTGCCACCTCCCCAGCCTCTTCTCACACCAGCCACAGCACTTGCTTTCGATCTAGTTCAATTCACTCCAGCTGCAGGGCCACTGCACCTGCCATTCCCCTACCTGGAGCACCCTCTTCTCCCCACTACCCACCTACACCTTATCCTCCACATTGCCCCTGAGGCGTCACTCTCTCCAGGAAGCCTTCCCTGATCCCCAAGAGTCAGATCTCGCAAGACAGGCTCACAGAGCACTTCTGCCTCATTCCTCAGCCTGCATCGCAGCTTGGAACGTCACGCTTGTGTGACTGCCGGGTTATCTTTCCTACAAAAGCCTAAGCTCCCAGGGGCAGGTCTGCACTGGATTTTGCTAACACTGTACACTCAGCATCTGCCCCAGCCCCCTGCACACACCAGGCACTCAAAAGGAACTGCCATGGTTGAAGAAACGGAAAAATGCAGAAGCCACCTGGTTCTACCGCACTCTGCCTGCGTGGCCTGTGCTCTCTGAAGCTCACTTTCTGCTCCTGTGAACTGACAGGGGCTGGTGTGATGATTAAAAAGTCTCAATAATCACAGAGTGCTTACAGCATGCCAGGCGCAAGTCGCAAGTGCTGTATGGTGTCTGTAACCGATAGAAACAGTCATCTGAAAGTTTAGGAGTTTCCTCGCTAACCTGGGTGTCAGGGCATTCAGAGACCCCTGCCCTACAGAGTCTAGTTTTGTGAGGCCCCAAGGAGGGGGCCCCTTTCCTGCCACAAGTTCCTGGAGCCCACAGAGCTTGTGCTGGAGCCTTTTTCAGGAAGGGGGCTGCCTACGTCTGCTCCTGGAAGGAACCTCCGACCTCCTGAGGGCCTCCTCCCCAGGAGGGAAGCGGGAGGCATCCCCAGCTCCCTTCCTACCGCCAGCCCAGTGGGAGAAGCGGCCCTCACAAACAGTGACAACACACATCACACCCCTCCTCCCCAGCCCAGGAAGCCGGGCATGTGGCTTCCATTAGGCCACATCTGGACATGCTCAGAGGCAGGGACGGCCCAGCCGAGGCATCCCAGAGCCCTGGCACAGCTCCGGCTCCGAGACAGGACCCCCAACCCAGCCCCGCCTGGGGTGATGGCTGGAAGCCTCCTTCTCCAGGCCCCAGGGCTGCCATGGCAACATGGCTGGGGTGCCATTTCCGGCCCCATCACCCGCCTCTCGGCAGGCACCAGGAACTGAGCAGGGCAAAGCTAACTCCCAGCTTCTCCCCACCACGACCCCTCCACCACCCAGATGCCCCCAGGCCCATCCACGACAGCAGCCAGGGGGTTCTAAGGCCCAAACCCCACTCCTTCCAGGCAATCTGTCAGGCAACCTGAACCCCCACCTGTAAGACCCCTATCACACACCCTCCCCAGGCCACGTACCCACGGTTGTGACCAGGAATAAATGTGCATGTGTGTTTGTCCACTAATGCCTTCCTCCCCATCAGATCCCAAAGGGGAGAGGCTGTGCCCTCATTGTTTGCTGGCACAACCCCTGGCACAGAGAGGGTGCTCCGTAAATATCTTCTGGAGAAATAAGCGGGGGGACTGGAGAACAGATGGTGAGCAATAACCGCTAACATTTTTAATTACTCAGCAAGTACTCCGCCAGGGCCGAGCATTTGACATGAATTAGCTCACTTAAACCCCATGAAGCAGGGATTTCTCTGCTGCTTACAGATGGAGAAACTGAGGCACAGAACAGTAAGCCACTTGCCTAAGCTGCATGGGTTGTAGAGTCAGATCACATGAATTGGTGGGTGACAGGTGGACCCTGGGTGGGCTGAAGGACAAAAAACAGGGGGGTGGATGTTTATGAGGCCAGGCCTGAGCTCCTGAGTCCTATTTAAATCCACCCCCGCCTTGCCCCCTGCCCCCATCCCTGACTCCTCATTCCTTCCATTCCCTACACACCAAAAGCTGCAGCTGCCTGTCCATGTCCTGCTAATTCTAGTCTCTGGGGCTTTGCATGTATTCAGCCCCTGCCAGGACAGCCCTCAGACAGGATAAGGGGCACTCAGTCAGGGCCTCTACTCTCCCCAGCAGCCCTCATCAAAGACCACATGCCAAAATCCATCTGAGAAAGCCCAGGGCAGAAGAAAAAAACTGGGGCTCCTGAAAACAAAGCTGTTCTCCAGGATTCCAAGGCCCAGAATCACAGAGAAGCCTCTGGCAGCAAGAGGTGGGGGTTGGGGACAAGGGTATGAGCTGCACCTATTCTGGAAGCCCTGGAGGCTGCAGCCTAAGCATGCCACATGCACCACTCAGGAGCCAGACTGCAAGCCCTCCCAGGGCGCATGTGCCTTACACACCCCCACCCCCCAAGCAAGCCTCCCGCCTCCCGCAGGCTCAGGGGTGGGTGGGGAGCGGAGTGGGAGGTGCATACTGTCCTGGTCCCAGCCCACCACTTCCCACCATGAGACCTGGAGCCACTAGCCACACCTCTCGGGTCCAGCTCAGTTTAGAGTAGGGAGATGGAGCCCACCTCTCCCACTTGTTGGGAGGAACAAGTCACTGAAACAGGACCCTGGCCACTAGTAGGTGCTCAGCAAGGGTGAGTTCTGTGCCCCACCCACTGAAAGCAGGCTGGAAGCAGCGGTTTCAGAGAGTGGGGGCTTCTGGGCCTGGAAGATCCCACAGAGCTCCCCAGTTCCACCCTTGCTGCATGCACACAGGCTTTACACACAGTCCATGGTCAGCAAGAGCTGTGGGAGCACTTGACAGATGGGGAAACAGGGCCCAAGCTGGTTAAGAGGCTTGCCTGAGGCCATAGAGCTATGGGCAGCAGGAAAGGAGAATAGAAACGATGCAGAAATTTCAGCACCTCTCACGCCCCCACTTCCAAGAAGCCTTCCCAGATACCACCCAGACATCCCTCCCTCACAGCCTCTAACCTGTGAACAAGGTGCATACTAGTCCACCCCTGCCTTCCCAGGGCCCACCAGGGCCTGATCACAGTTGATACCTAATGCAGGTGCATAGACTGAATAATATAGGACTGAACAAGATGCAGGCTCCCTGCTGTGGGGAGAGAGCTCTAGAAACCAGACAACTCTCCAGAGCACCTGCAGAGGGGTGGGAGGGTGAGACAAGACACAGAGATTCAAGGAAGGCTTCCTGGAAGAGATGCTGTCTGAGCTGGCCAGGAACAGTGTGAACAGATGCTTGGAACAGAGGGGAGACAGTGTGGGGTGCTCAGGAGACAGCTGGGGAATGAGTGTGAGAAAGGACAACTGAGAGAGGGGGTGGCCAGAGAGCCCCCACTGATTCACTATTTATTCATCCAACATCTACGGAGCCCCAGCTGTGTGCAGGCCTAGCTGGAGGCCCTTGGGCTCAGCGGAGAATATGACAGATGGATTCCCCGCACTCATCTCATGGCACTAGCATTCTACTGAGGGAGAAAAATGATAAACAAATACATGAGTTATTATGTACAGTGTCAGGTATTGCCAAGAGAAATTAAAGCAGGGTAAGAGGAAAGGTGGGTGGGCAGGGACGGCCTCCCCAGGGAGGTAGCCTGAGCAGAGAGCTGAATGAAGGGAAGCAGCCAGCCACCTGGGCCCCTGGAATAGCGTTCTGGGAAGAGGGAGGGCAGGTACAAGCCCTGGGGCAAGAGGTGCCTGGCCAGGAGGCAAAGGGAGCTGAGCAGAGTGGGGTAGGGGAGGAGAACAGGAGAGGAGGTCCAGAAGGCACAGGGGCAGGCCATGCAGGGTCTGTGGCCACTGTGAGGACTTTGGCTTCTACTCTGAGTGAAGTGGGAGCCACAGCAGGGTACTGAGCGGAGAAGGACCGAGGGCTAACTTGTGTGTTAACAGGATCCCTGGCTGGAAGGAGGGGCAGAGGTGGTGCCGGGTTCTCACAAGGGGCCCCCACAAGAGAACACGTGTGGAAGCAGTCTGGAAGCAGAGGTGTCAGGGTGCCACTTCAGAGACCAAGATCGCAGCTGTGCTTGGAGGCATCTGACAGAGAGGATGTGAGCAGGCAGCTGGCCCAGCTCTGCAAAGCTCCAAACTTGCTGCCAGGGTACCTGTGGACTGTGGTTTCTACCAGGCCCAGCCTGCACCCAAGCAGGAACCCTCTTCAGGGACCGCAGCTCTGATGAGGTATGCCCACAACAGGCCTCACCTCCACCCACCCACTCCATCCCCCAAAGCGAGACCTGGGAGAAAGCGCTGTCTTGGATCCTCCAGACTGCACCATCATAGGCCAGTCCCCACAGACCCAGCCCCCGACCCCAGGCAGCTGTGCAGAGGCCTGGGCAGCAACCAAAGCCCTGAAGCTGCCCTTCCCGGCCGAGTGCCCCTGGAGGAACCAGGAAAGAGTCTTACCTTCAGCGTTGCCTCTGGGGACAGAATGAATAGAGTTGCGGTCTGTGTCCTTCTCTGCCCAGGAACGAGGCAAAACCTGTGGCTGCCTGGGCGCTTCCTGGGTGGGTGGGACCTGGGCTGTGTTGTGCAGTGGCGTGGACAGGATGGTGGGTGTGCTGGGTTTGACCAGGCCCCCAGGAGAGCTCAGCGTGGCCTGTGACAGGACCGGGCCAGAAGTGCCTGACCCCGGCACTGGTGTGGCTTCCTCCTGCCCAGTACCACGAGGAGTTGCCTGGACATCTGGGATGAGGTTCTCTTCAGGCCCAGCCCTGGCTTCTTCCCCGGCTTTTGCCCCCTCCTCCTGGACAGGGAGACCAGGTCCAGCTGGACCTGTGGTGGGTAGCACATCCAGCCCCTGGGGGCCACCTGCTGCCAGCTGCTCCGTGACGGCTGTTTCTTCCCTCTCCTCCTCCTCTTCCTCCTCACTGTCCTCTGTCACTCTCCTAGCTTTGGCCTGCACAGGGGCCGGGGGGCCCAGGGCAGTGGCCGCCGTGGGTCTGGGGAGGGCGACTGACCAGGGAGTCGCCTGGATGGCAGACAGTGCCTGACTCCCACCTCCCAGAGCGGCCGGAGGGCCCCCTGCACCCGCCTGGATCTCCCCTGCCAGGGCCGCCGCCTCCGCCTCGGCCACCTCCTGGTCGTAGCTGTAGGGGTCTTCATAGTGTCGCTCAGGGTCACCCTCCTCAGTGTCTGAGAGGTTCCCATGGCAACCAGGGAGCTGATAGCAGATGAGCTCACCACCGGCATCAGGGCAGTGGCAGGCCCGGCAGGGTGGCAGGTGGATGGTGTGGCCGGCAGCGTACTTGCGGCCCGCGTGGATGCAGCCCACCTGTCCACACTGTGGGCAGCTGTCGGCGGCCGCCACGGCCTCTATGCAGTTGGGTGGCAGCTCCGGGCACAGCATGAACTGGCAGCTGATCTTGCCGCCACCCGGCGGGCAGGAGCACTCAGTGCTGCCAAAGTCCACAAAGTAGGATTGACCAGCGGGCACGCGGCCACGCACGAAGCCGCCCTGCAGGCAGTCATAGTACTGGTAGCCCTCGCAGGCGCAGCCCCGCTGCACGCACGTGGCGCAGCAGGCGCCCGGCTCCAGTGCCTCCTCGATGCAGTTCTCCAGCAGCGGGCACTCGACACCCGTGCAGTCCTGCCGCGGGGTCACAGCGCCCACACTCAGGCCCAGTGCCAGGGCCAGAGCCAGCCAGGCTCCTGCAGGCTCCCAGAGCAGCACCATGGTCCAGACCAGCTCAGGACGGTCCCCTCTCCTGCAAGGCCCTGGAGAAACCAGAAAGAAAGCCTGTCAGCACCAAGGGCACATACACACATGGGGCACACACAGCTTCAGCCACCTCCACTCACACACATGCACTCGTCCCCATGCACACTCTGCCAAGTTTGCTCAGATACACACAGCCTCTGCCACGCGTGGGGAAGATCCAGAGATAGGTGAGTGCACAGTCGCTCAGGTGCCACAGGTGTTGATGCTGCCAACACAGCCCTTTGCATCCTGACACAGGCCCTCTGACTGGGCCCCTCATGCCCACGGTCTCACACACACACACACACACACAACCACACCCTCTCTCAGTCACTCACTCACCAGGGCACATGTCCAGCGACTCAGGCACCCTATGTCTCACGCACTGCCCCATGGTCCTCCATGCACACTGACACACAGTCTCACCCATGGCCACACCTACATGCAGGACACACCTACATGGAGGACACACCCACAGGTGGTCCTGCATGCATAGTCCCAGCCACTAGTGCACACACAGAACCACCCAATTTCTCTCTCCAAAAACCCAGCTCGGTTCCCAGCCATCTGCCCCTGGCTGCTGGGCCAGGGGATACAATCAGTGACGAATGCTGGGCAGGAATGAGCCCCTGCTGCAGCCCCAACCCTCAGACCCCAGGGCTCAGGAGCACCCCTGTGTGACCCCTGGGACTGCAAGTTGAGCCCCAGGGGACACTCCAGCCCACCTCCTCAGCAGCACCAGCAAATGCACCCTAGGAACCTACCTGTCCTGACACCCTCTACACCTTTCCCAAGTCCCATCAATTGGTTCTCCCCCTGCACAGCTCTCCACTCTCTCTGCTCCTTCCCTCCATCACCAAGCCCTGCTCCAGCTCCAGCCTCACCTCCCGTCTACCCTCTGCCACTCCACCTCCCCTTCCCTGGGATGCCAGTGTGATCTGACAGTAGCTGGCCTGAACACACCAAGGGCTCTTTCCTCCCTGGCCCTCCTCCTCATCCTCTACAAACCACTCAAGTGCACCTTCTCGCCAGTCCTCACTCCTCCCCCCACCTCCACCTTCACAAAAGTCAGTCCCGCTGTGACTTGGTGGCCAGGCCTGCCCCATCTAGACAGCACGCTTCTGCAAAGTCACAGGCAAGGCATCTTTCTCACCAGCTCCCAGCCCTGACCCAGTGCCCGGCCCTGGGCTGTGCTGATGTTGGTAGCTACCCTGCTAAAAGTGTCTAATTTTTTTTAAAAAAAGAAAAGAGAATGAAGTGACATCTCTAGTATTTTAATTTGTTTGTCATTTCAAACTTATTAAAAATAGTAGTTTTTAAAAGTTTCTGATGAAGAAGGGGAGAAAGGAAGCAGAGAGCAGAGCTGTTGTTCTTTCTAGAGGAAGCAGTCGTGTGCTGCCCACCTCCCAGCTGAGCCCAGGGCAGGGGCGGGTGAGCAGGACCAGAGCACAGAGGGCAGTGACAGAGTGACAGCTGGCTGTTGCCACCAGCAGCGGTCACCAGGCAGCCCCCACCCCAATGCCTACCATGGCTGGTTGACCAGAGCTGACCGAGTGCCTCCTCTGTATGGAGCACCCTCGAGGACCTGGGGCTTTTATCAGCCAATGAGACAGGCCTCCTGGCGGTCCTCCCAGCAAGGACACTGCTGAAGGGAGGCAGATACAAACCCAAACCCAAGAGCAGATCCGCAGAGAGCTGAATGCGGGCAGGAGCAGGTGCAATGAAGAAATGCACCAACAAAAGCCCGGGAGTGGAAACAGGAAGCGGCCGGGTGGAGAGAGCCTATTTCAGCAGGTGATCAAGGAAGGCTTCTCTGAGGAGGTGGCCTTTGAGCTGAGATCCGAATGGTCTGTCTGGAGGCAAAGCATGTCAGACAGCAGGAATAGCAAGGGCAAAGGGCCTGAGGCAGGACAGCAGGACGCAGGTGAGGAAGAGCAGAGGGCCTCCATGGCTGATGTCGAATGAACAAGGACAACGTGGGTGGCAGCAGCAGATCGAGCAGGATTCTGGTCGCAGCGCGCCTGGAGGCCCCAGACCTGATCCCACTCTCTAGGTCGAGAGGGATCCCCCGGCTGCTGTGCTGAGACAGGGGAGTAGGCAGCGAGAAGGTGAGAGACGGCCGGGGCAGTGAGTGGTGAGAATCAGGAGAGGAAGGTGAGAATCAGGAGAGGAAGGTGGAAAGGGGATTTATTTTGAAGGCAGAGTAGATGGGATTGGCTGATGGACTAGATGGGGCAAGATGGAGGTAACAAGTCCAGGAGGAGTCAAGAGTTCTGGCCTGAGCACCTGGAAGCAGCCGTGTCTGGAAGCAGGGGAGGCTGCAGATGGATGGCTGTGGACAGCGGGGGAGACTGAAGTCTGGTTTGGGCTGTGCCCAGTTGGAGAAGCCCACGACTTGGCCAACGAGAAGGCCGCTGGAGACAACCGGGCCAGGCCCAGAGGCCGGGGAGTCCAAGGGACCCTCTGGGGCCATGAGGGCTGACACCCTCTGCCCCCACACTGAGATGCCAGCTCTGGAGAGCAGAGGGCTCCATAAAGCCAAGAGAGCAGGAGTCAACTGCTGGGAGAATCAGGACCTTCAATCCCAACTGACAAAGTCAACACCCTCTAGATGGTGATGGGGGAGGGGTACAAACGCCTTCAGGTCCACTCTCAACAATGCCATTTAAGAAAGGAAATCTCGGGCAGGCCCGGTGGCGCACTGGATAGTGCGCCGCTTGGGAAGCGTGGTGGTGCTCCCACCCCAGGGTTCGGATCCCACATACAGACCGGTTCCCGCTCACTGGCTGAGCGAGGCGCGGGAGCAACGCCGAGGGTTGCGATCCCGTCGCCGGTCCCCGGTCCGGTACGGGGGCAACACTGAGGGTTGCGATCTGTTGCCGGACACGGAAAAAGACAAAAGACAAAAAAAAAAAAAAAAAAGAAAGGAAATCTCTACCGGACCAAGATCTGAACTCCCCTCCAGCCCTCACACATACCCACGCACCCTGGCTGCAGGCAGGCCGCAGGCTGGTCTCTCCTAGCGCTTCTCCCAGAGGAACCTCCGTCCCAGCTGGCCCTGCCCCCCTCACCTGATCCTCCAGGCCTGTCCCCTTGCTCTGCATACCCGCACGGCCCCCAGGGTGGCCCGGTGCTTTGACCCCCAGCGTCACATTCTGTCTACACCCAGTGGTTCCAGATTACAGGCTCGCCCATCGCCCCAGGCCCAGGGTAACGACAAAGAACATCAGGCCCAGGCCTGATTCTGCATTCTCCTCATGTGCTTGCTGTGCAACCCCAGCCAAGGGCCTGGACCTCTCTGAACGAAGAGGTTCAACCATACCTCACATTGTGGTTGGGGTCCACGGGCACTATCTAGCCAACAAGTGCATTTTGTTTGGCCCACACAGTGGGATTTTAGTTTTAAATCGGTTATCAGCATTCACAAATTGGAAGCATTCATGTGAAAATTCAGGTTTCCACTCTTCAAAACCACTGAGTTCTGGCCACCAGGGTTTGTGTTCCTGGTTTCCCTGCATGGTCTGGGGCCTCCCTGCATGTAGATCAGAGCCCCATGGTGCTGTCCGAAGACTGTCTGCCTGCCCCGGAGGGGAAAGGACCAGCTGGGATGTGTCCAGAGGAGGTGGCCTGGGTGGGGAGGGGGTGGCTCACCTGGAAAAGAGCAGCCTCACTGTCCTCACGTTTCCACAGCTGCTCTAGATGGGACACGTGTGTACAGGAGCAGGGGCAGAGATGGCAGATCTCAGCCCCATGTCAAGAAAGATTTCTCCAGGTCAGGGATACACCTGGCTGCTGGAGGAGGGGGTGAGCTCTGCATGCCTGGAGATAAGCAAGCAGGGCTGGAAACATTTGCACAAGTGAGAAGCAGGAGGGCACAATCTGTACGTTGCTGGGTCACAGATCGATCACGCTCCTCCCTGGGGCTCCAACCAGGTTTTCCCCCACAGACCCTGCAGCAAGTGGCCTCCTGAACTTCCGGCTTCTGCAGACAGCCCCACACTCACACTCAGGGATGGGGTGGGGAAAAGAGCTGACCTCCCTGCCGGGAAGGGCCCCAGCAGTGCATCTCTGGCTGGTACAGCCCCTGTGACAGGCTGTACAGTGCCTGCCGGGCTGGGTCACACTGCACCGCACCAGCCCTGCCAAGACGGGGACACATCGGGAGCCAGGGAAATGTGAATTAAAAGCAGCTCAGGCTCTCAGTTTCCGCCTGCTAGGAAGGCAGGTAGGAGAGTTACGATATCACTATCACTGCTGTGCCACTGCCCAGGTGTCCATGGGAGCAGCCACTCTGGAGGGCGGCACACGTGCAGTTAAGCGCACACGCGCCCCGTGCCTCTGCAGTTCTGATGTCCAGTGAACCACTCAAGGAAATATGTACCAGGCCCACATGGCCCATGGTGGCCACTGGGCAGGCATCCGTCTGTGGGTAGGAGGGGTAGGCAGGGGGAGGCCACTGGGCCAGTTCCTGTCCAGATGTGCGTTCCCAGATGCGCTGCCCACCCTTCTCCACCCTGCTCTGTACCAGGCTTGCTGACTGCAGACTGCACCCCGACTCCCAAGCCCCCCCAGCTTCCTGAGGGTTCAACCAACAGGAGCCCCTGACAGAAGATCAGAGGGTGGGAGAGAGAGGCTGGTGTTCATTCTCCAGCCCCCTCCCTCCTGGGCAGGGGTTTGGAGGTAGCTGTCCCCTGACCCCATGGCCACAGCTTCCGTCCAACGACCCCCTCCCTCTGCCACAGCCCTGGTGGAGTTCTCACAGCTACCCCTCCCCACCCCTTCGGGCTCACGGTGGTAACAGCTCCCCACTGTCGCTGCTCCTGGAGCTGCCCCCTCCCCAGTGGGTTCCTCTAACCCTGCCCACACCCTGACAGACACACCCCCAGGGAGGACCTCTCAGCACTCTAAGCTAACAATTCAGTGTACCTTCAAAATAGAACACTAAGGGGGAAAGGTAAGAGACAGAACAAGATATA